AAAAAAAAAAAAAAAAAAAATGGAGACCAGGCATTGGATCAAAATTTTAAATAACTGGAGAAAGAATTGACACATTAAAAACATTTAGGTTCCCCCCACTAGAGTCCTACAGGGCTGGGACTGCCTTCCAGCCCTTTTCGCATTTAGTCCTGGCCAACCTTGCTGAGCCCACTCACCCATCTCACTGGGATCCTGGGAGCTTAGAAAGCTATGTGCACTTTGCTATTTCGCTGCTCCTAAGGGTTCCTAATAAACCTTGTCTTCCACTGACACACATGCACCCATGTCTCTCCGATTCCTACCACCTTAATCTTTAAATATTGTTAATTAAACAATTAGAAAAATATTGTAAACTATTATGGCTGAAAAAGCAGTAAATCCCATATGACAAATTTCTAAATTCAATAAATTAATCCTTGAGAGTATTTCATAAGACATAAGGCTCTGCAAAATATGAAAATTACCGTAGTTCTATTCAAGGGACTTTTACCTGATGGAATCTTTTAAGATGGAGAATTAGGATAGCTGGAACAGCAGAAATGAGCAGTTGCTTCCTGGCATTAGTATAAACCCCTTCTGTTTTCTTTCCTGCATAAAATATAATAAAATACCATTTTATATGCTATCTATCAAATAACAGAGTAAACATTTATATAGAAGTATTATACACCATTTTAAAAAATATTTAAAAAGAAATGGTTGCAGGGTATCTATACTTCTTTTCAAAACTTCACTAAAATGAAAGGGAATTTTAAAAAGGGACACACTGATAAGGACGAAGCGTAGGGGAAGAGAAACTTGCAACAAAATTTGCGGAGCTGGAAAGCAGATGGACTAGCACTGACCTATGTCAATACTCTCCAGCCAAGGACACCAGAAACACCCATAGTTGAAAAACTTGGGTTGAGTCATTACACCCTGCAGTGAAAGATCACATATTATGGGAACGATGGAGCACTTCAATAAGCGGTTGTTAGAAAAGACTTGTGAGAGGACTTGAACATGGCCAATTGCATATTTAACTTGGATTAATGATTAATGTAGGTTGGTATTTCCTCCTCCCATCTGGAAATTTCTTTCATTACTAGTGTATTAAGCTTGTCTTTATGCTCATGCTTTGACATCTGGGGCCTCACTGACACTAGAGGCCCCCTCTCCTTCCCCCCACCCCCCGCCCCCAGAGCTAGCTAAGTCCTAGACACAGTGAACAACCTAAGTGCACCTTCACATGCAAACCAACCAATCGAAAGCCCACGCCCCAACTACCTCCTTCCCCGGGCCCTTATACTCCGGGCCACTCTCCCCCTACCCTAATCACACCGGGGTCAGGGACCAGACAGGAGACGGCCCCTATGTTCCAGAGCCCGCTGAAATTATTCAACTCCACTCAGTACTACACCAATTTGCCCTACCTCACCCATTCCTTCTCATGGAAACCGCAATAAAGGCTGCCACCCATGCTTTCTCCTGGCTCCCCCTGCTTCCCGACTAGTCCTGGTACTTCCCCAGGTGGCCCTATGTGGCATGGCTTAGCTCACCCCCATCTCTTGCGAACTCTAAGCAACAAACTGTCAAAGTGATAAACTACCTTTCCAGTGGCAATCATCTGCTGGCTTCACCATGCCTAAGAAACAATAAAATCTACATTTTGAAACAACTAATCATTAAGAATCAGAGTATTCTCTCCACGGCTAGAAATACACTAAAAATTTCTTACTGGACAAGTCTGCTTTTTTTCCACTTTTATCTGGCCAACTAAACATAGTGACTGCATTGCTAGCTTTGTGACATACAATTATTTTAAATCTTCAAACTTATATTATGCTATGACTTCATACTAGATAAATGGAATGTGCACATTAATCTCACCAGAGACACAACTGTAAATTTCAGAGAAATTTCTTCTGGAAAGATTTCAGATAGCTAGTCCCCAGAAATAAGATTATTCAGATGTGCATTTTCAAGGCAGAGATGAATACGTCCTGTTCTTCAATTTACTTCAACAAAAGTCTACTGAAAATTTACTCTGCCCAGTCAATGTCTTCTGGATGAGGTACAAATATGAAAAAGACAACCCCCACCGCCAAGCAGCTCGGACGGGGAGATAAGGCTCTTGGCTTCCTCTATCTGGGACCTACCACCCACTCGTCACCAACTATCAGATAACCCATGAATACTGAACCAAACAACCTTAAGCTCAGTAAGTACCTGCAGAAGTGGTTTGCTTCTGGCGCCTCTGTTTCTTTTCAGTACAGTGCTCGCAGAGAAGCCTGTTACTCCCTATCAGTAACTCCATGGATGTGAACTGGTAGAGACAGGACTGAACCGAACATTCTTTCGCAGTAGTCACGTAGCTCTGAGAAAGGGTCTGAAAAGCACTCTGGGGGCTGTGGGACATCATCTGCTTCTCCTCTGAAACACATATACTACTTGGAACATTTAGTGGCTTATTTTCTCTGTCAAAATCTCTACCTCCACTCACAGGGCTGCTCAAGTGAAGCTGAGCCATAGCTCCAGCCACTCCCTCATCAGCACTGTCAGGGTCCCTGGAGGGGGGCGCCCGTGATGCTGGACGGGAAAGGAGGCTGTTCGCGGGCACCCAGCAGCCCCTGCTGAATCCCAATGACACAGTCTGCCTGGAAGCCCTTTCGGACTCGGAAGCCTCACTGTCGGCATCAGCACTGCTTTCAGAATGGCTGGCTTCTTTCTCACTGACGTCGGGGGGACTGTCAGTCAGAGCTGACTCGGTGTGCATCCTGCTTTCAAGCACAGAAGACTCCCCGTTTGTTTCAAGGTCTTCGTTTTTCTGGTATATGATGACAAGCTTATCTTCTTCAGACGACAATTTTCTTACATGTTTTCTGCCATGAACTAGTTGATTCTGTAAGTTGACAGTGTTTTCAGAGAAAAGAATCTTGTGACCTTACTGGAAATAAATGCCAATAAATCTTTTTTAAACGTTCCACAATTATTAAATAAATATTGTTTCTAGCACCTCTGAAATTTATTTCCTAAATCTACATAAACTACAATCAATAGAAGATATACTAACAAGTAGTTCTAATTTAAAAGTAAATCTTTAGACAAGAAACCAACAACAGCAGTTACGTATTTGCAGAGAACAGGACTGTTGCGGAAGGAGGCTGTGAGGGAGGCTTTTTAACTGCAAGCTTTTGCACTCTCTGCAGCCTTGCCACTTCGAGAGCCTTCTAAAAGAGTAAATCTGATCATATATCCATCTGCCAACTTAGTACAAATCATGTCATATCAAAAAAAATTTTTGTAATGAAGTGCAGCTCCAGCCTGATTTCTTTACATTTTTATGGGATAATTCAACTAGTGAAATAACGGGTCTCGACAGTGGTCATCGGTGACTGGTGGCATCACGGAACAGGAAACATCACACACAGGCATCTCCTTGATGAAAATAAACACCACCACTTACCAGTTTTCTTGCCAAAAATTAAATAAATAATGAAACTTAATTAGGCCTCTAGATCTAATTGCTTTAGAGGAAATAAAGGAGACACAGGGACTAGTTCACACCATGAGGTACAATAGCAAAGTGAATTACCCTTGAATGTGGACATGTGAGGAACTGCTGAAAAAAATGGCTGATTGTTTCAACAAATGGCAAAGGGAAAGGAGGAGGACAGGAGGGCGGATCTATAGATCAAAAAGATTTAAGAAACATGCAATTAATAGAGATTGCAATCAACGTCCTTTTTGGATCCTAAATTCAAACACACCTTAAAAAGCAAAACAATTATTTGTGAGACAACTGCACAAGTTTAAATGATGGGATGTTCAGGCTATTAAGAAATCATTAATATTTTAGGTATGATAATGGTACTCTGGTTATGTCTTTAAAAAGACTGTTTATCTTTTAGAGATACAAACTGAAGTCTATAACGTATCTGGGACTTATTTCAAAGTAACTAGCCCTGAGCAGATAACTAGAAAGCTGAGAAATGGGTACAAGGGATTAATTATACTATCTTCTCTATTTTTATATACCTTTTTTTAAAGTTTCTGAGTAAAAACTTTTTAAAAAACAGAGATGTCCCACAAATGCACATAATCTTACCTTGTCTTTTGATGAAGAATTCTTGGTGGCTCTGCGGTGATGAGAATTTTCTGTAGAAACAGGGCCACTGTACTGACCATGGTCTGTCTCCTGCAAACTTCTATATTTACTCATTCGTCCCAGAAGAACAGGTTTTGAAATCTAAACAGAAGTCACGTACATAGCAGAAAACTTCTTTAGGCAGCCATCTTGGCATCATCTACTTTTGAAGCTTCTAACTCATTTGAAATACAGATAACTTCCTTAACATTAGCTCCCAAAATACAAAACATAGGATTTCAATTCCTTGAGAATAACAAATACTTGATGCATATAGATGCAAACCTCCATACTAAATACACTGCACAAACTCAACTGTTGTATATGAAAAATAATGACTCTAATAACTGATAATACATTCAACAAACATCTAAACACATAAACGAATAAATGCCCCTCATAAAAAAGTTATCATTAAGCTTTTTTTTCTTCTTACCCTTTCTTCTTTTATAGGAAGTGAAATATCAATGAAAGGATCTTTCACCATGGAGATCTTCAAAAGAAATCATATTGAGAACTTCAGTTAGAATCCCAATACAACCAATGTACTTTTTTTGTAAAGTCTCAAAGAAATCAAAATTCCTGGGCAACCTGAAACTCTAAGTTAAAAAATGTCTCCGGGACAACAGTGATTTAAGTGGGTATATTATTCATCAATACAAGACATCTAAGATGTCAATAAATGCAATGCAGCTGAATGTCATGTTGTTGGTAGTGATGAACCTGTAATATTTAAAGTAACTTCAAAATAAGCTGTGTTTAATCAAACTAACTAAAGATATAAACATATTGGTGAAATTGGTGCCATAACATAAATAAAATATGAAAGATAAGGAAAAGCCAGAGTACTTGGCTATATTTTGTAGATTCTTTAGGATAATTCTGTTTTTAAAAGATACTCTCTAGCTTGTGAGAGAGAAATCAACTTCTGTGTTGAATATAACAGAAATTTAAGAATTATCATGTCGGCACATTCTATCCTTCAATACGACAAGCCAGAGGGAGATATAATACTGACTTTGCAAGACAGGAGAGGACAGAAAGATATTCCATAATCCAGGACAGGAAAATGGACATAAAGGCCTTTTCTTTTATGATTAACATCTAACAAAGCTTAAACCTATCATAGCCTAAGTCACATGCTTTCAGAAACATTCTTTACCAAGCAATTAAAAACCTATAAAACAGTTGTTAAAGTACAGATAACAAAAAATTATCACTAAATTAAAAAATGAGTCAAGTCTACTTCAAAAAAACTTCAGTAAGTCCCATAACTATAAACTTTAAGTCTTACGTGGTAAATCACCCTGTCGTGTCACTACATTATTTTTACTGGGATCACATTTTAGGGTAATGCATAGTTACTCTCTTCACAGAAGTTTCTCGTTTGTTTCAATCTGAGCAAGTAGCTAACACATTTTAACACATTAAAATAGGCTGAAAGGACTTCACAGGTTTGTCAGGAAGAAAAATGAAATAACATACTTTTAAAAACTGTAAATTATAATTATAAATTACCTCCTAGGAGCAAAGGATATATTTTAAAAAGACTTTCAAAACATATTATGTAGTCATGAATAAAAACAAATGACTGCTGATGACTATATATGTGAAAGAAACGATAAAAATGATGTGATTATAATTTATTCCATACGGATGTGATTTCCAAAATACCTACATTTGCACATTCTTCACACATGACTGTGCTAGTTAATTCGCCAATAAAGATGCGATCTATGAAGTTCATTTTCACACCTTCTCTTCCATATGCTGTAAATAATAATACGTTTTTTAATGCAAAACACATGTCAACCATCAACCTAACAATGTAACATGGTTTTTTTTTATTGATTCAAAGGAAATCTGAATGGGGCAGATGTCCAGTTCTACATTTAATCATACATTCTACTATATGATGTTATAATGTCTTTCTCCCTTATAATTCTGTTGAGAAAATGTGGGTGTCAACAACAGCAGTCTCCAAGAAATAACCAACAGTTCTTCAACTTAAGAGGTAAAATAAGTAGAGCAAAAACCGCTATTCAAACCATACAGCCCTCTCCTGTTCCACCCTTTTAAAGCCTCTGTGCCCAACCTGGAGGTAGACAGAGGGATGGGAAAGGAAATTAATACTTTTAGGGCCATGGATGCCAGGACCAACACTACGTAAACAACAGAGAAGTAAAAGACAAGTGAACACAGCATAGAGCAAAAAACTAACACGGGCAATTAATAACTCAGGTATATATACAATTGATCAGACATATTTAAAAATGTTAAAATGGGGGAAATAGTTACAAGTCAAAGGAAATTATGCCTATAATTTGCTTCAAAAAAAAAATCTGGGGCTGGGAGAAAAATAAATGAAACATTATACACCATGAATTTAATGTAGTTTAAGCAGGATGATGGGTAGATTCATAAATAACCTCCTAGGAGGCTTCATTATACTATTCTTTCTATTTCAATAGAAGTTTGACATTTTCCATAGCAAACCCGGCCAGTGGGGGAGGGGCAGCAGATATCTTAAAAAACCAATTCGCTCCTCTTTAAAATTTCTCTTCTGTCCTTTTTGGGTCTCTACCTTCAAATTTCATACAAGCAACATTTAAAATCATTTAAAAACATAACCTGAAGCACTGAATAACTGAGCTGGCTTATATCTAGATATATCAATACACACTTATTAATTATGCTACCTACTACTTAGAAGTTAGGGTAAACTAAAACGTTTCATTAAAAAATTTACACAAGGGGTTGAAAATAGAAAAGATCACAAAATGGAAACGGTGAAAGAAAAACAGGGCAGTGATTCTAAGCGCGTACTAGACGGCACTGCGTTAAAACAAAAGCACAAAGAACATGCTTGGGAACCTGCATTTTTAAAAATCTTGAACCCTTATCTGCTCTGCATATGAAATTTTGGCAGGTACAATCACAGTGTATGTACAGTTGCTTATAAATTATAGACATGCAGTATGTACATATAACACTATAAAAACAAGTTATAAAGAGAATAAATAACATACAAGTAGCATTTTAAAATGTGTTCTAAAAATGATGACTTCACATTACCATTAGTTAATATCTCAAGACAAAATATACATTTGGGACAAATTAAATCACTAATAATGTGTAATATGATAATTATAAACGACCAGCCTTGACTAGCTAATCATTGTTTCTGCCTCATATTTTGGCCAACGACACACCAACAGTACAAGTAGACACATATGCCTGATTTATTAGTACTCTAGTCAATAGATGGTTTCCTTACAGGAAATCTTCTGAACACTTAAGCATTTTGTCTAGTTAAAACTAGATAATATCCATAAATCCACTTATCCAAGCACATGGCAACTACAAAATGATACAATATGATGAAACTCAATTTCCAAATGAGGTCGCTACTTTGAACACCCTTTCGGGTCTACTTTAGGATATATCACGTAAGGACGTCTGTGCCAATATGCATATCAATATTAGTTTTGTTTTTCAATATTCACATGGATATATTCTAACACTTTCTTTCTATGACTCACCAGTAGTTGCAGCTACTGGAGGAAGGATACCCTACTCTTTAAGGCCACAATATTTGTTCACATAATGCTCATTCTTTTGACCCTAAAAAGGAACTTTTACTATTTTCTTCTAAAGGAAAGTTTTAACAGTGAAAGAGTCAACATACCTTTTACTTTTTTTCTAGTTTCATCATCAGCAGTTTTAGTAGTTGGGTTGTTAAATGCTTTTAGAATGCTGGCTTGTATTCTCTGTAAAACAAAGTTAAGAAGAATTTAATAAGAATCTATACTAGAATGTATTCTTTCAAAGATTTTGTGTTCCTCTGAGTAGAATCTGGTTTAGTGACAGTTACCTCAAGCATCATCCTCTTAATAATGGGAGGACTTTGCAACTGCAAGATATATTGGATCTCAATTCCCTAGTCTATAAAATGACTAAGTTTAAAAAAAAAATTAAATATGTCCTTTCTTCCAGTTCTAATTCCATGAATGAACAATTCTCTAATGCCAAATACTCCAAATCAGAGTCAAAGCCACTATGTTCAGGTTCTCTCCTGGGTGCAAATAATTTTTCCCATTATTCCTATAGGTTTAGAGTAAGTTCACGCTCTTCTTTCTCTTCCCATTACCCCCTTCTTCCCTTCCTCTCCCCTACTCTGTCCCTAAAATGACATATTCCTTAATCAGGAGAAAAAGTGACATAGACATTATGAAATTTCTCATCTATGAAGAAAATTCTTAATACATAAGAAACTATGAAACTGGTCACTATAACCTCCATGCAGATTAGTTTACTTATATACATATGACTAAAGTCCAGAATATCAACTAATGTCCAAAGCAAAAAGAATCTTCCAAATCTTGATTAATTTTATTTTATCTGCATTTAATTGTCAATAATAATCATGTATTAAAATCTTTAGCAGTTCTTAGTGAATGACAAGGTTTAAGTTTCCACTTCTCTTACGTATGCTTTAGAAAAGATCACGCTTATAAAAAACTTTCAGATTGAAATAAAACTATGTTCCAAGAATAAAGACTTAAGATAATAAATTATCATCTTTTATACTCATTATGCCCCTAATTAGTGGATGAATCTAACCTTCTCTAATTCACATTTTAACTTGGGATGAGAGGAAAGCTTGTTAATTAACCTTCAAAAGATTTTTTAAGTAAAGTCCTGATCACAGGTTTTCATATGTTTTACCACCATTTGAGCTGGACTTCCTGGTGTGAAAATGATACATAATTCTGTTGCTGAAAAGTTACTATGTCAGAGAGAAACTAAACCCAAATTTCAGGTTTCCCAAAGAAGAATAAAAACATTACATATCAGAATCCAAGATATTTTCCACTGTTCAGAAGAAAATTCAGTCTTAAATATTGAAATCAATTGAAAAGAATAAAAACAAATGAGTTAAGCAATCAACTTGTAAACTTAGAAAAAAGAATATCAAAACTGAACAAAAGTAGAAAGTTAATAAAGATATAAGTAGAAATTGAAGAGAATTAATGAATCAAAAGCTGATTCTTTGGATAGGGTAGAAGTAAACCCACTGGGGGGTGGGGGTAAATAAACCCACTAGCTAATCTTAATCAAGATAAGGATGAAAAGCACAACATCACACCGAAGAAAAGAAACTGCTAACAAAATTAAAGACATTTTAAGTAACCATGAGAGACCACTTTGCTCAACTCTTACATATTATACATATGAAAATTCAGAAAAAAAATAGATAATTTCCCAGGAAATTAATCTTAGAAGAGACAGAAAATCTTTCAGCTTCCATGGGGGGATTGGAGGGGAGAATGTTGGTCAATAGTACTCCTTACAAAAGCTCCAAGTCATCACAATTTCACAGAGGAATGCCATTTAGTCTATGTTCTAGGGTGTAGAAAAAGGGAAACTTACTAATTATTTTCATGAAGGCTAATATTGGTACCAAAATCTGACAGAGTGTATACCACACACACTGATGTCACTTAGCAAAAACTTATAAATAAAATAAAAACAGAATACTGCAGCATGTTAAAAGAACAGTGCAATATGGCAAAGAGATTTTTATTCTAGTAATGCACGGATATTAGAAAACCCACTAAATAAGCCATCATATCAACAGATGTAAGGAGAAATAGATTATAAAATCAAATCCCTTCATATTCCCTATTCACTACTGTTATTTATCATTGTATTAAGAGTTTAGTCAATGCATTTAATAGAAAAATAAATCTCAGACGTATGAAAATATAGAGGAGATAAAATTATTCACAGATGATAAGATTTTTTACCTGGGAAAGTCAAAAGAACCAGATGAAATAAAAAACAAATATTAATAAGAAAATGTCATATGGGGTATGTAAATATAATGAAACCAAAAGCCTTCACACACACACACAGAAATGACATATGGAAGAAAATGCCCTTTATACAGCAACTAATTTATAATAAATAGCAAGTAAAAGATAAAAAACACTAGGAATAACTTAAGAAATGTGTAAGAATCTAAATGAAGAAAACTTTAAAACACTACTGAAAGATATAAAATTTAACTAATTATGAATCTCTTAATTGATTTTTAAAAGCAAATTACAGGTAAAATATAATACAATATTATCTACTCAGTTTATCAGTTTGTTCAAACTATAATTACTCAAAATAACAAGTCTCCAAAAAACTAGCATAACTTACTTAAGGGACTGTTTGTTTTTTCTTCCCAGTTCAAATCTTAACTACTAAACAAATCATTTTCCTAATTCTATACAATACTGCTTATTCAAGTTTAGTTTTAATGCCCCTTCATTAGTGACTAGCACAAATAATATTTTCTTTAAAGCTTACTATTTAAAATTTAACCATAGTTATTTCACTATTTGAAAAAATATTAAATCTGATTCAGTAACTATGGTATATTAATAACTTGTTGAGGGGGTCAATACAAGATAACTAGGTGAAAAGAGAGACTCTGTCTTTGTATTATGAATAGTAAATGCATGTTGATGCTTCTAAGTTTACAGATGATGTAGAAACTGTCCACTTAAAGATTAAGAAAAGACAACTTATTCAACAAACATTCACTGAGCACCAACTATGTGCGAGGTACACGGGATAGAGAGAACACACAGTACCATTCCTTCAGGAGATCACAATCTAGGAGAGGCAAAAAGACATACATCTAAATAGAAATAGAAATATTTGACTTCATAATCAAAATATATAAAAGTAGAGTGATAGCAGAAATGGAATGACGCCTTCTAAAGTTGAATTCAACTCATTTGATAGGATTTTTCCTATTATGACAATGCAGATGGACAAAGGCTGCCTACAGCGCTATGCTGAGAATGATCCGGAGGCTGAATCGAGCTCATCGGGACTATTGTGAGTGGTCAGCAATGTCTGCTGTGAGTGAGAAAGGGGGAAGTGGAAGATAGGTGCTGTGTATCTTCAATATCTTGCATGTTCTCTGAAAAATTGTACCCTATCAGCAGTGGACCCCATCAAAAAAGCTGAATTTAAGTATGTTAATACTAAAGTCAACAAACAACCAATCGATTAAGGGACAAGACTACAAAAAACACTGAGCTATGACTTCTGTTCTCGGAAACACTCCCTGGCCCGGGAGGTTGGGACCCCACTCCCGTAGCCACAGCGACAGACCTTTCCGGACTGGATCCTAACCCAACATGATGGGACAGTGAAGTTTCTCTCTCTTGGGAATTTAGAATTGAGATTCACAGCCAGTTTCATTTTCATATCTGCACAACTGTGACATGCTAACTACGGCGGTCATGTGCTACCGTCCAGACACAAACAGAGAAACTGCTGAGTCTACAGAGAGATGAATAAGAAATCTACAGAGCCAGCGTGAGCAGGGGGATAAGAATGCTACCCAGGCTCCTGAGGACCCTCCTGTCCCCATACTCCCAGCTAGATGACCCTTCACCAGGTTCTTAGATTCCCTTTCCTTTACCAAGCTAATGTGAATTGATTTCTGTTATTTAGGAGCAAACAGTATTAACTAACAAAGGATGATAGGGTTGTGAAAGGTTGAAGGAAAGTAACCTTATAGAAGAAGAGCAAGAAAAAAGGGGAGAATAAACAGGTTAGAAAAACAATTACTTCCTAGCCTTACATTAAGATTATGGTAGAAATTAATTCCTTCAGTTCTGTGCCCTCTTCTTACAGGGTGTATGTGAGGAGCATAAAGAAACCTGACCTTTGTTTCTTCTGTCCTCACTGCATCCAGCAGATAGTGCAGGAGCTCCTGACTGTCCTGCTGTTGGAAGCTTTTAAATCGAGGGGCCCTGCGATTTAAAAACAAAACAGGAAAGAAAAAAAAAAAAAGAATGATCATTTCATCAACAATATATTATTATTATTTAAAACCATTTTGAAATAGCATATAGTCAACTATTCATTTTAGTTCTTTTTCTGCTAAACAGACAGACAAAATGTGATTACCATTCCAATTAGCATGAGATCTCAGGTGCCCCGAGAACACTATGGCTATCACTTACTAAGCACCATACATGCCAGGCACAATGCATATCTTAAGCTTTATATATGTTAAGTCACATAATCCTTAAGTAAACTTGGAATGTACTATTTTCCCCAGGTTATATGAGGACTCAGAGGGATTATTTAAATAATTTGCAAGGTCACACAGCGAGCAAAAGACAAGTATTCAAACCCAAGCCACTCTGATCTATTATCTTCCTAACTTAACCAAAAGAAAAGCAAGTTTATTTATACTAAATTAAAGAACTATAAATTGATATCTCCATGAATGTATTTACGGATTTGACAGATTTCTTGTGTATTAATTACATAAAAGGAACAGGTGCTATTCATGGAGACATCGACAAATATTTAGTTCATTTCAGCTTCAACTTTAAAAAGTAATACTTTTTGCAATAAACTCCAAAGGTAAAATGAACAATTTTTGCCTTTAATGAAAACTAGTAGTAAATTTAGAAAGTGCTGTGATCCAAGATGAAGAAGGAATTTTGTCAGCATAGTAAGAATATCTTATGGTAGTACAAGATAAGTTCATAATGGTCTCATTATGATATATACAACGTATCTCATTTGATATACACAACAGTGCTGTTTAGGAACTCATACCTACTATGAGATCCATTTTACCCTTGAAAGAACTGAAGAACAAGCTATGCCACTGACATAAATCCAGGCGTTTTGACTCTTGAGTCTAGTACTGTAAGTATTATTCCTCATTATCACATGATAAACATTCATCCTGGTAACACAGTAACGTGAGTCCCTGAAGCTAAAAAGCTATCTGAACTGGTAGTGAATCCAGCCTGAAATTGGAACCATCATTTCAAGATGCAAATACCTGCCAATAAGCAAAGAGTTGCAAGACATCAAGCACACATTCAGTTACTCCCAGACGGACCTCCCCTTCTGCGTGTGGTGGATAGCGCCCACCTCCTACATCAGAGGGGAGGACAGAAGCCAAGACGGACATAAATTCCAACCCTATTTGGGCCTCCACAGCTGGAATCTATGAAAGGCCAAAAACTGTGTGACATTACACTTGTGCTGTACCAAGGTATCAAGAGGGTCACGAGGTAGAAGACTGAAAGGGGAATCGGGAATCCTACAGAGATCCTCACCAGCCAGGTGAGGTGAGTTTATGGCTTTTAAAGCATTTACACTGGAAGGAAACTGGTCCTCAAAAAAGAGAATCTGTTTCCACCATGTCTCTGCCTATAGCTCCATCTCAACCATGCACAAAGTACTTACTGCCTTCTAAAGCACTGAAGGAAATTTAATAAACCTAGATTCTTTTGTTCTTTTCTTACCTAGACTGCGGGGGAAGGGGTGGGAATCATATGATGATTTACAGAATCTCTACTGGAGTTTATCTGAGCTACCAACAGACCAACAAGGATAAAGAGGCTAAAAAGAGAAAAATCACCAAACATATGAAAAGATTCACCCTATACAAATAAAGGGAACACTAAACATTCAAAGGAAATGTACCTCAGAGAAGTGGGAAAGAGGAAGAAACTTCTAAAATCTCAAGTTGTAAGAAGAAAATGTACGCACACTCATAAAACAGGAATAGATTGTCAAGAAAAAGAAATGTACAAAGAGAGACTCTCTGGCAGTGTCTTCTAGGTGAAGACGAATCAGTCTGTTGATAATCTAAAAACTCTATTCCAAACATATAAACAAAAGAAAAAACAAAAGAAAATTAAACTAAAAGGCATAAGCGGGATTCAGTACACAATAAGTCCCGCAGAGCAAAAACAGAACATAAAATAGTAGAAAACACTGCACTTGATGGGCTCTGGGCCTGAAAGAGCTCAGCCTCAAAGGAACCCACAAACTTATATTATAAAACAGATAAAGAAATTTAAAGTTAAAAAATCAACAACTGTACTGAATTTACTTTGCTCCAAATTTTATGTCACCATCCTAAAGACATTAAAAGTATGTTGAGAATGTCCAAGAACATAAAGGCATAGCTGCTAATAAAATCCTATATACTAAGAAAAATAGCAAAAATTAAACATGTAGATATTGTTAAGACAGCCAATTAAAAATATTAGAAATAATAAAATAGAACCACAGATATAAAAATACAAAAGGGGATAAACTCAACCTTACACAGCTGATGGGTGAATTAGTAAATTAGAAGACAATACTGAAGAACATACCCAGAATATTATAGTATACTGTACCTTCTTAAGCGTATCACACACCACAAAATATCACAAAATTAGGAATATACATATATTTCCTCATGGACAAAATGCAAAGAAAGCTCAACACATTAATATTAGTTGGCAACAAGAAGGAGTAAAGGAACAAAAAAGCACATAGTGAGAATGATGAAACAGAATCACTCTACAGCATCTCTGAACCTATTAAGGAAGAGTGCATGTAAAAACTGGTAAAACCCAAGTAATATTTGAACCAGAGTTGATAGGATTGCATTAATGTCAATTTCCTGGTTTTGATAACGTACTGTTGTTACAGAAGATATTATCATAGAGGGAAGCTAGACGAAGGGCAAAGGTACTCTGTACCCCTCTTGCAACTTCATGTGAGTCTTAAAACTATTACAAAATAACAAGATATTGGAGGGGGAAAAAAAGGCGAGAAAAAAGTTGAAGAATTTGGTCCAAACTTCATCACAAGTGGTCAATGTGTCTGGTAATCACCATTATATAGAAACTCCAAGAGATTGTTTCAACTTTTAAATATCAATCAATATATACACACAACATGGATGAATCTCAAAATAAGTACGCCTGGAAAAAGAAGTCAGAAAAAAAAAAAGACTACATGTTACATAGAGAATTTTTTTTAAATGAAAACTAATCTATAGTGATAAACAGGTAAGCAGTAGCCCAAGGATACGGCTTAGGGGAGGGAGTCCAGGGAGTGTAATTATAAAGGGGACCAAGAAAACTTCTGGGGGGTGATGGGTACATTCATCATATTGATGTGGCAATGGTGTCACAAGTGTATATATTCCTCTAAGTATATAAAGTATATAAAACTTATTTGATATATACTTTTAACATGTACAAGTTATTATATGTCAAATACATTTCACTAAAGCTATTCTGAACACTTGTTAATACAATTTACTATTTCAACTGCCTAAAAAGAAACATGATTATTTCAATAGATGCAGAAAAAGCATTTGATAAAATTCCATACCCATTTTTTTTCCTTCAGAAAACAACCAACATTCACTATCTCATGGTTTCTCTGGGCCAGGAATCAAGGTGTACCAATACCCATTCTTGATAAGAACTCTCAGAAATGGGAATGGGTATTTCCTCAACCTAATAAAAAGCACCTATGAAAAACCTACAGCTATTATCATAGTTAGGTGTGAAAGATTGAATGCTTTGCCCCTGATACCAGGAACAAAACAAAGGAAGCCCACTTTACCATTCCAACATTGTACTGGAGATTGTTGCCAGTGATATAAGGTAAGAAAATATATATAAAAGGATAGAGATTGGAAAGAAAGAACTAAAATGGTCTTTATTTATTGATTACTGTAGTCATTATTGTCTGCATAGAGAATCCCGAAGAATCTACATGAAACTACTATAACTACTATATGTAAGTGGATTGAAAAAGCAGCAAGAAACAATGTCGATATACAAAAGTCAAGTGTATTTCTATGTATTAGGAATGAACCATTGGTAATCAAAATTTTTTAAAGTACCGATTTACAATAATTAAAAACATGAAATTCTTAAGGGCAAATCTAACAAAATAATGCAGGATTTGTAGGCTAACAACCAAAAAAATTGATGAGAAAAATCAAAGACTTAAGTAATTAAAAAGATGTCTCATGCACTGGTGGAAGACCCAACATTGTTAAGATGTCAATTCTCTCCAAATTTATCTACACATTTAATGCAATCCCAATTGACAAACTGATTCTAAAATTCATATAAAAAAGCAAAGGACCTTGAAGAGCTTGAAAAAAATTAAAAAAGGAAATTTTGAGGATTCACACTATCCAATTCCAAGACTTTACTAGAAGCTACAGTAATCAGGACAGTGCAATACGGGAGTAAGGATAGAAATACAGATCAATGGAACAGAAAAAGAGTCCAAAAAGAGACCTGACACAAATGGCTTAAAACTTCTCCTGATTTTTTAATAAAATCATTTTCCTAATATATATCTCTTTTTAAAATAAACATAATAAATCAAAAGAAAATGCCATTTTTAAGTGTTTCTTAATAATGTTTGATTGAATAATTCTATCATCCCACAGATGTACTCTCACAAGTACAAGTTATATACATATATAGACATCACTCATACACAAATTTACTTATGTAAAATCAAGTAAGTTATATTCACATGTCCTAAATGGAAAGATGTAAAAAATACATTAAGCAAAACAAGCAAGTTATGAGTACTTTGTATACACATCTGTGTATGCATAATCACTTTTGAAAAGAATAAGGAACAGATAATAGTACTTTGAACTTTTATCTGTGAGCACCTATTATTTTAGCTATAATTTTTAAAAATCCTTCCAGGTCTTTATAAAACCAGAAAAAAGGATAAAAAACAAAGCTATTTGGGCAGAGTCAAAAACAAATTTCTGAAGCACACAATGTCCTAAAACCTGTTGAAGTCTATGAGGCACACATATCTCTGAGACTCTCAAGGGCTTTTTTGTTCCTTAGGCTTTGAAAAAACAGCATTTGCCAAGCAAATGAAAAAGATAATAAACGTTCTATGTTTTGGACTACACGTAAACTACCATGACACCTTAAGCTAAGGTAAATAAGTCATGGAAAGACAAGTACTGCATGATTCCATTTCCATGCGGTACCTAAAATAGTTAAATTCATAGAATTGAAAAGTGGAATGGTTGTTGCCAGGGGCTGGGGTGAGGGGGAAAGGAATGACTAAACACCAGACGTAAAGTCGAAGTCAAGCAAAGAGGACCTGCTCTACAGATCGGCTGGTCAGCACTGTACCTGTACTCAACAATCATCTACTGCACACTGAAGATCTTTTAAGAGTGTAGATCTCATGTTAAGTGTCCTTTCCACAATAAAACTGAAATTTAAAAAAGATACTACCATTGCTAACAATTCGATGAGATAAAATTCAATAATATAATACACCGTGGTACAGATAACTAGTGTAAATTAAAATGAAACTTTAAAGCTTGTAGATATACAAAAATACAAGTGTACATTTAATGAATTTTTTTCTACATATTTTAGTACTTGTGGACTGAACTGGTTTATGAGCTCCATACAGGGTCCTTTTTTAATATATTATATATTGTGTATACCTGGATCCTAGTAAGCACCCTTATAAGTACACTAGATTCATCAATTTTCTACAAGAATGAATGAATGAATATATTAAAGTTAAGTCATGTCTTTTATGGTATGTGTTTATTTCCAAGCACACAAGGATTTTTTTTAAACATACTAAAATATCTTGAGAAATTCACTTAAGTTCTATTTGTCTCAAAGTTCATCTCTAAAAATAAGGAAACTAGGTTAGATGCTCTATTACTGAACCTTTTAGGTTTTTACAATTCTTTAACTTTTCTTGCTTTACGGTATAAAATCATGGCCTCCTAAGGCAAGACAGACCGCAACTGAATCCTGGCTTTGTCACTATGGAACTAGGTACCCTATTAAACTTTAGTGAATCTCTTAAGTTTTCTAATACATAAAATGGGGGTAAACAAACACTTCTGAGTATCACGTGATAGAATCTACATAAAGCATACAGCTGCAACAAATTTTTTTTCTCTTGATAGTCTAAGCAATAATATCACTGTTACAGTAAAACTATACTATTTGATAACTCATCATTACTTATTTTAAGAATATAGATGCACCCACTTCTGACAAAGCTGGTTAAAAAGAACTTTAGGAGAAAGTGGTCCTTTTTCAGTCTCCTTCATGCTATGAAGAAACAGGAACAAGGCTGAGGTCAGTGGTCCAGGGCTCGAGAGTTCCACCACTAATGGGTCCTTTAAAAACATGACCAACTCTATTTCAGAGATACACGATTTTAAAATAACATGTTATTAAAAATCTAACACATTTTTTAAAGATGTCAAGTAAATTGCCTCAAGTATTCTAAGAACCTTTATTCCCTCATATATAAATGATATAAAGATGGAAAATGGAATTAAATGCCTTACCTTGAAAAACACAGGTTTTCTCATATACCCTGCCCTGGACTTAATAAACCTATCAGCTTAAGAGTGAAACCACCAATCCTTAGTTGCTTTACTGTCCTTTAATGTACTCTCCTAAAAGTAAAATTGGTCATCCAGCTGATATTTGTACATCTTCACATGTAATCATAAATTATGCTTATTAGCAAAGCTCCATACAGTTCTTTCCCCCAAATATTGTAACTCGTAAAATAAAGAATGGGAAATTATGTCACAAAAGTGGTACATCATTCTCCCCTTCTTAAAGGATAGACATAAAGCTTGACAAAAACAGCTAAAATTGTGTGAAAAATCAACTCCTTTATTCTAGAATTTATTTCCCTACCAAGTTTTGTTTCCTAAATATTATCTTCACCAGTAACCCCCTCTCCTTACGAACAATGAATAAAAAGCAGATCCCAAATATAATCTTGGGACATTACAGAACGTTATCTTCTAAGACAATTATCAAATATGTTGTGTCATTCATGTATTCATAAAATCCTTGTTACATTTATATATATTTCATACCAACTAACCTTAAAAACCCACCATCCAGCTAACACCACAGAAAGGATAGGCTATAATTTTCTATAGTTTTTGAATATCAAAAGTGTTCTTCACCATGTTAAATAAATTAAAAGTTACTTCAAGGGTCAAAAGCAAAATCGAAGCAGTCTCAAAGCTCAAGCACTAAGGTGCTGTATCCCCTACTCCCAACGAAACCATTTTTAGACAACATTAAAAACCTTCATGATCAAGCCAGGAAGTAACCTTGGTTTTTAAAAATAGACTTAAACTTCGAAAACACAAAAAAGTCTGCTGATGAGGAGGGCGACATGGATGAGCCTCACACACATCCGTCGGAAAAGAAAAAGCTTCCTCTTGGATGGAAAGGAGCTAAATGCAAAAGTGTGCAGAGTGTGTGATTTTATTTATATATACCAGTAAAACAGGCAAAACTAATCTGTCCTGCTAGAAACCAGGTGAGTAGGTGTCCTTGCGGGCTAGGGAGGTGCTGAACGGAAGGCGACCTGAAGGGGAAGTCCAGCTGCTCTTCTGTTTCCTGAGCAAAGAACATTTCAGTTGGTTTCAGTTGTGTGTTCAGTTTGTGAAAATTCATCAGCTATACACTTAGGATGTACATACACTTCTCTGTGTGAATATTTCAGTTTAACGAAAAGTTTTTGAAATCAAGCTTATTGCTCATATGCATGGACATAGTAATAAATTGAATCCAGCAACATATGAGAATAATATATTATAACTAAGTGGGGTTCATCCCAGAAATATAAGATAGGTTTAAGATTTGAAAAAAATCAGTGTAATTTACCACATTAACAGAGAACAAAGAAGAAAAACCATATGGTAACCTCAACAGACACAGAAAAAGCACTGACAAAGTTCAACATACATTCATGATGAAACTCTAAGAAAACTAGGCACAGAAGGGAATGTCCCCAACTTTATAAACTTTTAAATTTCTAGGTATTTATCTGAAAAGAATGAAAACACTAACTAAAAAAGGTATCTGCACCCTCATGTTCACAGCAGCATTTTTTACAATAGCCCCAATTTTGTAACAATGTAAGTGCTCATTGAAGGATGAATTGATAAAGAAAATGAGGTTTAAGGCTGAATAATATTCCACACACATATACACAGTGGAATATTATTCGGCCATAAGAAAGAATGAAATCTCACCATTTGCGATGGACCTTGGATGAGAAGCGAAATAAAGTCAAACAGAGAAAGACAAATACCATATGATTTCACTTATATGTGAACAAACAAAACAAAACAAAACAAAAACCCTAAGCTCATGGACACAGAGACAGATTGGTGGTAATTAGAGGTAGGGGATGGGAGGATGGAGAAAGATGGATGAAAAGAGTCAAAAAGTGGAAACTTGCAGTTACTGGAAAAAAAAGAACACCTATGAAAAACCTACAGTTAACTTCATTCCTAATCATAGTGAAAGACTAAACGTCTTTCTCCTAAGTTGAGTGTTTAGGCAAGTATGTCTGCTCTCATCACTTCTAATCTCCATGTTACTAGGGGCTCAAGTTAGCACAGTAAGGTAAGAAGAGAAACCAAAGGCACATTACAAAGGACAAAAGTAAAATTGGCGATTCACAGAAGTGATCTGCGAGGACAGCCCCACAGCTCAGGTCACCTGCATGTCCTAAAAACCTAAGACCTAAGACTGAAACTTTCTCTCTTAGAATGACACAAACCTAACATGATCAGCTGTAACACTGAACTGCCATATAGTAATCTTGAGACACAGTCCACACGTGAAATACTTAACATCCAATCACATTTAACAGGAAGTCTTTTCAAATAACTAAGCATTAACTTCCGTTCCGTACTCTTCACTAACTCACTGCACTTGAGAAGACAGCACTGGGATCTCCCATAAACATTTTAAGGGGCTGAACAGGCAATGAGCTTACAGACTGACTTTTCAAAAATGAGAAAAACACAACACTGTCTTTCAAAAAGGCCCCCTTGAAAGAAAAATCTAAGATTACAAAATTGAGCTAAGAATTTGGGAGACTTCTCTTAAGTGTTTTCACAAGGCAGATCATGAGCTAAACACCCTCTTTTTTCCTCTAAAACGCACACATACAAATCAATTTCTAACCAAAACCATTATTACTAGCGTCAGTGCCTTCCAGCAAGAAGACCAGAAGGAACTCAACGGTAGTCGGACCAGGTGGGTTTACTGTCGCATGGAGAGACTATTCGCCCTGGAGAAACTACGGGGTATCTCAGGAAGAGGGGATCAGAAGAACCAGTAAAGGATCTGGGCTTTGGCTGGGTAACCTGGGGGAGAGTCTAAAGAAGCCGAGGGCTGCTCTCAACTGGATGCTGTCAGAAAGTGGGATAATTCTTTTTTCTTTTTTAATTTTTATTAAGGTATTATTGATAAACACTCGTATGAAGGTTTCACATGAAAAAACAATGTGGTTACTACATTTACCCATATTATCAAGTTCCCACCTATACCCCAATGCAGTCACTGTTCATCAGTGCAGCAAGATGCCACAGAGTCACTATGTGCCTTCTCTGTGCTACACTGTTCTCCCCATGATCCCCCACACCATGTGTACTAAACATAGTACCCCTCAGTCCCCTTCTCCCTCCCTCCCCACCCGCCCTCCCCCACTCCTCCCCTTTGGTAACCACTAGTCCCTTCTTGGAGTCTCTGAGTCTGCTACTATTTTATTCCTTCAGTTTTGCTTCGTTGTTATACTAGAAAGTGGGATAATTCAAAGACTGGGTATCTTGATAAATCTTACCTTTTGTGGGGAGACTAGAATAAGGACAAAACTACAAATTGTAAAAAAGGAGCAGTCACTCATTTTGCCCAAGAGAGAGGGCGTTTGGCAGTTTCTAAGTGGTAGAGTAATCCTGTTTTTGTCTGTGTTCAGACAAAATTATGAAGTGGGCTTGCTTTGTCTCATTTTATCAGTCTCAGAATAACCTAGCCTGAGGCTGCTATTCTGCGAGACCATTGGAATAACAGGGCCTAGTGGTGGGCGCGGACCAGCTTCTGAATGTCAGGGGCTGCTCTTGTTTTTTCTTTCTCACTAGAATAAAAATCCAGTATCAGACTAGGCTCCAAAAAATCCCTTTCAGTGCTATTAAAATTGAACCCATCTTTAAGGAACAAAAATGCTCTACTTAAGCAAATGTCACGGGTAATTACAAAACAGGAGTCCTAGACACTTTTCTCAACAAAAGTCAAACCCCTTTTGCTTTTTCCAGCATGTTTGTTTGAAAGCTGAATCAACATTTTTGCATTGTGTTTGACCCCTGCTATGTTTGAGCCATAACATAGCTTAAAGTTATAATTTTAGAAGTTTTAAATCTGACTGTGTATTATCACCAAATGCGTTGACATTATTTTTCCAAATCCTCTGACTACCACCTCAGCTAACAGTTCTGCAAAACAGGAAAGATAGACGTCGGCACCATCAGGGGCTCATCTGCAGAGAGCTCTTACTGACACAGCTCTACTCACCAGCTGAGAGTGGGAAGAAGGAACAATCTTGAGTTTTGTACCTCTTTCTCTCACCTCACTCATCAGTTCAGTGAGAATGTAAGACTGCGCCAAGTTCTGAAAGGAAAACAAAGTAAACTCGTTTGATTCCGTTGTAATATGCCTCTGATTTTAGGGAAGAAATACTCAAAGTTTCAAATTTCATCTACACTGTGTACACTTTTTTATAACTTTAAAAAAATCTAATTGAATACATTTTACATTTAATAAGCGTCAGTTTTACTGACAAACAGTACATACAGACAAGACCTTTCCAAAGCCCTGTGGAAAGAGATGTGTATATGAGTGTGGCGATGGCTGGAGATAGTCTAACAAGCAAAAAGAAGACAGAAATTCCAACAGGAACATGTAGCAGCCGCTTGACCATCTACAGGTGTGCCGACAAATACAAATGAATTAAAATAATCTTTTACATTTTACAAAGATTTCTGATGGCTCTTACCTGCATGACAGCATTAAAAAAGCAAGTATTTCCTAAATTCGTAATCCCTTTCACAGCAGCCACACTGCTGGCTGTACTTCCTTTCTTTTTTTCACCTGTTTCACATTTTTCTTCCCCAAGCTTTACGACTCTAGCAAATGCACCTACGTTAGAGAAAACATAACTGACATGAGATACAAAATTAAATATTTATCATTTCATATAATCAACTATTTTACTTAAAATTAAATACGATTTCCCCCCTGAATTAGTGTTCCAGAAGGGCAAAAATACAAACACAAACAAATGTCTCTGGCTTTGTATCTTACTGCTAAAGCAATTAATTCCTTTTACTATAACAGATCTGTACCTCATACCAAATCGCAGAATATATTACAGATGACTTTAAAAATTAAATCTAAATGAATAAAGTAGAAAACATCCAGATCTTGGTTTCTAAATACCATTTCCCACTAAAAGGAAAGAAGACTCATTGAAGAAAAGGCTAATCCTAAACCTGGGGCAGCAAGGAGACAAAATGGGCCTATAAGGAAATACACACAAGAAAGTGGAGTATGTCAAAAACAGGTGCCATTTTGAATGGGTTCCCACTGGTCCAATCTGGGACAATCTGAAATTCAAAATAAGGAAGGGCAGGAATAGATTATTATTCACTGAAAAACATGAGCATAAGCCTGAATCGATAATTAATAGATTTTAAAATGAGAGGTTAGGGAGGTGGGGGATGGGGAGAATTCTCTTCTTTATAAGAGAATGCCAACTAATAAACAGAAGAAATGATGGAATTAGAAAGTCACCATAAAGTGGCAATATTTTCTGTATTGTTCTTGAACTTTTCTGTAAGTTTAGAATTATCAATATAAAAAGTTGAAAAAATTGAACACACTATAATATAAAAAGTAAAATACCTAAGAATATGGTACATAGGTACATGTTTTAGGCTTACTGATTTGTGTAATTAATGCAGATTTGAAAGTTATAGTATAAGTTTTATATCAGAAGTTTCTAATATTTATGAATGAGCATGATTACTTAACAGCATATTACTTTCTGAACCAAAATTATAATTTGAAGTTTGACAGGAAACTCTCACTTTTTTTCTCTTTAATCATTTCTTGTACTTTATGGGTTTTTTTTCTCGTTTCTTTATTTCTCATTGGATTTTCTTAACTGTTAATGTGTTTTGTTTTATACTAACTTTGAGGTCTTTGCAATTTCTTGGCTTTTCTTTTTAACACATGGAACCATGTCATTGAGAAAAATGAATTGATTTCTAAGATGTTTTTCTCACTAAGCAAATCTGTTGCATGGAAAAAATTTTTCTTTCAAGTCTTAACTTTCATTCTGTGATGTAATATACTTTTATTTTTTAATTGAAGCATAGTTGACATACAATATTACATTAGTTTCAAGTGGACCACAGAGTGATTCAACAATTATATATATATTACAAAATGCTTACCACGGTAAGTGTAGTTCCCATCTGTCACCATACAAAGTTTACAATATTATTGACTATATTTCCTCTACTGTACTTTTTATACCTGTGACTAATTTATTCTATAACTGGACGTTTGTACCTCTTTATCCCTTCATCTATTCTGTGATGCAATACTTTGTCATAAACCCTATTACCTGTTTTTTCCCTTTATTACTGTTTGATTTTGTAAACGTTGTTGGTTGTTGCTGGATGCCTGCTCCTCAGACACTGAATAATATTTTTAAACTCCTAACCCTTGAATTCTTAGGTAACACAGAAAAGAATCTTCAAGATAGATCTCTTCTCCTGTCCTCCAGATACAACAAATGATAAGAATCAAACCCCATACTGGAGCCTGGGGGCAGAGGCTGGTATAATCAGTGAGAAGGTCACTGAGGTACAAAGGCCGGCATTGTAGAAAGGAGAAGCAGGAAGAGGCCAGACAGCATTCAAACCTGCAAGTAAACGTTCGGAGCAAATGGAGAAGCTTACAAGGCACAGCATGACAAGAGGAAGCCTACAGGGGTGCGGCTGGGTTTGCCCAGAAGCAGTCCCCCTTTTACTTATATCTGAGATTCCAACTGGAGCCTAGAATCAGCAGATGACAGGCTCTCTGGTAGATGTTGCGCTAGATGGTTTCCTAGTGATTCTGCAGTGATTAAAGATGATAAAGTAAATTCAAGCATCACTCCATCTTTTTGAGCAAGGCTCTTACTCAGATTTGACATTTACAAAACTCAGTCTCTAACAGATCTAATGATTTGCCCAAGGTCACATGATAACCTCTTGATAATAGGTCCACTGCCATTTTACCACTTAATTTCTCTTCGGTGATTTATGTATAATGAGAAGAATTATAAAGAAAAATTGTAAGGCAAGATTCCTACCGATTTGGGTATATGCAACCCTGAAGATACATGACTCCTCAAAAGTTATTTCCTTTAGTTAACAGTCTAAATAAGTGTTGCCTTAGTATTTTTTCATTTATTAATATGAAAACAGAATTGCTGGGGGAAATAAACTATATAGACTATATAACTATATATAAATAAATATATGTATATACATAATCCACTTGGGAAAATACTTCCAAGAATAAATTGTATTTTATTCTTAAAAGAATAGTATTTTTTAAACCGTAACATGCAAACCGTATTTACTCATCAGTTTTCAAAACATCTGGGATAGCATCCTAAAGTAAACAATGTTCATAAGACCATCTGGACAAACCTGTAGGCAAAAAAAAAAAGCATAAACATATGGAAAAACAGATTTTGCCTTTCCCTTCAGCAGTAAGGGATGACAAATGTTGAACCCAGATATATCCACGCTTCACTGTGTGACGCTTTTCAGCACCACCTGGCTCTCCATGCAAAGCCACCAAATATGGACAGCGCTGCCAGAAAGAATATATCCACAGGGCAGCGGCAATAAAAATCATTTATTGCATGGTTAAATAGCCACTTCACACAAGTGGTGAGGGTCTGTTTACTGAGTTTTACATGTAAGTCTGGGAGAATATATTCAAAATTAATTATCCCCTTAGACTTGAATATTAAGTAGGTCACATAATTTTTAAAAACTAGGACATTTTCCAAGAATTATTTAAATGTGTTTTATTTAAAGCACAAGCTTTTCATTTTACTGAATAGCACATTTATAAAACATAACAATTCAAATTCAATCGATTTATCAAATGTCCATTGTGTGTCAGGTCCTTTATGAACCACTGTCTATAATTACTTATACCTCATTGCTGATGATTTATGATTAGAGTACAAGGAATTGACAGTGAACAGCAGAGAGATATAAAGCCTTAAATTCATAACACCTTAGTAAAAATTTTAGAAAATAGGTATACAAGTACATTTGCTCACTAAGACAAGTGTCAGCCGAGAGTTTAAGATTCTAGTTTACAACAAGGCTGTGTGCATCAGTCTCTCAATTATTCGACACACAAACAGGTAATGTGCGTACTAATTAAAAACAATGTATTAGTTCTAGTTACGAATGGCTATTGATAGTTTCACTTTTAGGGACAACAAAGCTTTCTCAGGCTGGCAGTGATTTTACATCGTATTTGCCTGAAGAACTCTTCCCTTACAAACACAAAACCAGACGCGCTGCGGGCTGGACTTGCTAATATTCTGGAGTATGGTGTGACTGAAGGGACATGGCTACCACAGTGACAAAAAGGACAAACGATACAAAATTTTAATTATCAATCATTTGTTTTCTTCTCCTCAAGTTTTACCGGAAGCCATAAAATGCCCATAACTGGAAAGAATAATCACAGAATTTCAGAGTTAGAAGGTCTTTTATTAAATAGTGTTTATCTCGCCTTACTTATCTGCTTTATATTACCAACACTGTCATCAGACAGCGCACTTACGTAATAAAATAACGCAGAGTCCAGAATGCAAAGAACATGGAGAGAAAACTTTAGGCATTCCAGATAATAATTTTAAAGCTCTTTTCTAGCTCCATAGTTTACCTTGAAGTCTCTAATTTGAGTACTCAAAGAGCTGCTGGCTAACTGAGTGGACCTGACAGGTTTTGTACATACTGTAAGTCTTGCAAACCAGGAAACTGGTTGAAACACCAGCAAAGAAAGAAAAAACGTTCTCAACAACCTGGTTAAGACTAAGACTGTCTAAAAAATAATTCTAACTATCTCAAATTTTTCTACAGTAAAAATTACTCCAACACAAATATCCCATAATTATCATTTTTTTAAAAAGTTTAAATATGAAATTGGAAATATTTTAAAAAGTAATGTACCATGAATTTTAGGTGAATATCTTTATAACCTTAGAATACAAATGACTTGCAAGGCATGACCCCAAAGGCTAAAAAAAACATTATGGAGAAGATTAGTAGGCTTGGCAGTGATAACATTAAAAATTTCATTATTGAAAAAGAAAAAAAAAACCTAAAACTGTAAGCAAAGTTAAGTGCAGAAAAATGGGTATTCTCGTCAACTCTACCTTTTGTATAATCTTTCTGGAGGAGAGTTTAACAAAAGTAATAAAAATTTAAGACATGTTTATATATTGGCCAGAAATTGCAAAAAAATTTAACCTACAGAAATAAAATACACAAATACACAGAAATGAAGCTTTGCTTATCATGGGAGAAAACTGAAAACAGCAAACAGTGGATGCAACCAAGTAATTTTTACGTGTCTCTCTCTCTTCACAGAGGTATAAATATTTGTGAATTGCCTGGGTTTAACCAGGAGAACACTGGCGCTTCCTGAGTTTTCACAGGCCTGGGGAAAAGTAAGCTTATTTTGCAGTATGCTTATTTAAAGAAAGTTTGACTCCAAATTATAAAATAACTTAGTCACAGGGATGAAGGAATATAGCTCATAATAGGGCAGTGTCTGTGTGATGGCAGATGGCAACTACACTTCCAGTGAGCATTTAATAACGGATGTAATTGACCAACCACTAAGTCGTTCATATGAAACCAATATTGTATATAAACTATATTTCAATAAGAATAATGATTATTAAAAATGAATTAAATAAAGAAAGCATTTGAGAGCATTATCTCCCTGGTTAGCACTGTCTCCACTGCAGAGACAATGAGATCCAGACACACAGCTAGTTAGTGACAGGGAGGTTCAAACCCACGAAGTCTGGTTTCAGAATCCACACA